TTATTAAACATACCAGAAAATTCTACTTATTATTTTAGTTAATACAGTTTGCAATTTATTAAAGAAATAACAGGAATAAACATACTGTAAAATTCATGTATAAAAATTCTTTCTAACAGCTACATTTCAATAATTACTGCTAGTAATGCCCCAAGCATCAACTATAGTTTCTTTTTCTATTAATGAAAGATTGAAGATAGTAACCATTAAAATATTTTATAGTGAAAAACCAATGTATTGACACAATGCAAGCATGTAAAAACAGTTACATCATTAACTGTTTATTTATCACTGATGCAGAAAAGCACCAATTTTTCTCATGAGGGACACTATAGAAGTACCAGAAACATTCTATACAAAATACAAAATTTTATGAAGAAAAAAAAGGGGAGACGAGGGGAAGCAAATTTCTCTAGCTGACATTTACATTTCTACAGCCAGTGCAAACTATTTAGCAAAATAACAGTTAACACTAGAATTACGGTGGTCTTCGTATACCTAAAATTATGGCGGGTTTCATTTTGACCCCTTGATAAGATATCAGCATATTTCTCTATATGATATAATATATTTGTGAATAAGAAATTAAAATAATGCAAATTATGACAACTACAGTTTATTTTAAAGAATATAGAGACTTTGCAGGTATGTAGTCAAATAATGAACAAGCATTTAAATATTTTCATCGGAAAAAATATATATATATATATTTTTGATATCTTACATTTCAGAAACACAGAAAATAAAGTGTATAAATATTTACGCAAATTTTTCCAAAAAAAGTGGTTTTTAATACAAATATTAAAGTATTTTAAAATAAACTTTTTGCTATAAAAGAGTACATAGAAATATTTTATTTACAGATAATATATTAGTCAGCGCAGCAATTAGCACACACGCTTATCTTTCTGATTTTTTGTATATAATATCCACATACATATTTATTACAGTTGTCGTAAATATTAGAAGTTTTGTTACCTTTGCATTTTCTTACTTGATATTTCTTCCTTTATTTATTTATTTATTTGATTCTATTGAATCTTGTCCATCCACAAAGCCACTTGAAGAGAGAACAAATTTGTTTTTACTAGATATATATTCTTCTCTTAGTTCTTCTGCCAAACGCAATAGAAAATTCCTTCTGCTGATATTTTCTTTTGTAACTTCCTTATACAGAATCCACACATTTATACCTGCTAAGTCCAAAATATTGTAGAATAAATGTACTGGCCAACAGCGTGATGGTGCTTTCACGGAGTACTTTCTTGCCATTTACCCCGAATTTTGTAGAATTGTAAAACTGTATTACATCAGAAACCTTCTTTTCATTACATTCAAATTCAACTGATGAATGAAGTGTACTTAACAAAATTACATTTTTGCTCCTTTTACCTTGATACGATGTGAGTGTTATATAGTCGTGTTTCATCACAACTGAAGAAAAAAATCACGAGAAGTCAGAATCACAAGATGTTTCATCTCCATCTTTATCTGTAGAATTATTTTCGATTTCAAAACCGGAACACGCATCAGATAGTTCTTGCATCAGTTTCACGATTTCTTCATGTGTTAGTCCTTTTCTACGCACCACTATAATTTTCTACGTCACTATAATAAATTCATGTAAATAGAATAAAATTTCTACGTCACTATAATAAATTCATGTAAATAGAGTAAAATTTTTCACTAAAACTTGTTATGGATAATAAACAAAATATCTACAAAAAATCTACAAACGTTCAGCTGGTAATAATCTCTTTTCTCTGTTTTTTTTCCACAAAGAAAAGTATTGCACATATTCATGTGACTGGCAGATGTGAAACTATTAAACCTCTGCAGACCCACCATATTCTTTTCCTTTGTTTGTATTTTGTTTAGCAGGTGCAAATAAAAATAGTTTACAGAAGTAACAGTGTTCAGATAATACAATGGAATGTATTCACATTTTGTTTCTCTCAAAGGGGTTAAAATGACACCTGCCGTATTACTAGGTATAATCATTTGTTAGGGCTAAAATAAAAATATGATTTTCTTGAAATCTTTACTATTTCATAAATCACAATGATTTAGGAAAAATCGAGAAAAGATTAAGATATTTACGGAAAAAAAAAAGAAGAGCTGTCGGAGATAACAGGTTGCTAGGTGTCAAAATGACCCCTTCCGTAATTCTAATATACTGCAAATTCTTTTACCAGGGTTGCTGCTCAAACAGGAGAATGAAATTCCTTGACTTTTCCATGTGCGTTTTAAGAAATTTCCAATCTCTGCATAGTGTGCGTTGGCTGTGCCGAGAGGTAAATTAATTATGATAAAATATGCCATTTACATATGACTTATACTATATATATAATCCTCAAAGCATTACAATTATAACTATAATAAGAGTTGTTTTCTCCGCTGAAGATTGAGATTAGAATCTGCCCGATCTGGAATAAAAAAATTTCTTTTTTTTTTTCAGACATTTTGCAGCTAAACGAAAGAAATAAATCTATTTAATGATATTTTTAAATAAATTCAGGGTTAGAGTAGACTGAAGGGTACCCCTTGTATTATTGCAAAGTTGTTGTTTCATTTATGATAACTTGAGTAGTTGAATGTTATGAAAACCCTATTATGATGTAATGGGTTGCATGATTGCAGTAAATTTTGAATTATGGGATGTTTTGTAATGGCTTGTTGTGTGTGTTGGTTAGGAAGTACATTGCTTGTTTTGTTGTTTAGACGGTAGAATGGCGGATGTAGTAAGATTAATTTGAAGTTTCTGTACAATTTGGAACAAGTGGGGAAAAGAGCATGAATTGACCGGTAGGTAAATGAAGGTTTACTTAGTAGCCATTTTCCGGTCCTTCCGGAACTACAGAGGATATTTTGGCTAATCTTTGGAATATGGTAACAGGTAGTTTGGCAACATTTTGGTAAGGCAATAAAGGTTACTACTTAGGAGTTTAGCAGTGTACATGGTTAAAGTCAAGAGTGTGCACAATGGCATTTTTGTGCAATTCTGGGATGTTTTTTTAAGTGAAAATAGGTAGACGTGTACATGGATACCGTGTATGTGCAATTCTTAAAAACGCAGCAAGCAGTTTGCGATTCTGCACTTTCTCCCAATTTCGCACCTAATCTTTGTCATGATTAAGCACTTTTGTTCCATAAAAGTTCTAGCATAAGCGTAATTCGGCTAGCACATTGTTGGAAAAAAATATTGAGTTAAAAAAAAAAATGCCTTTACTTCGTGAAAACAAAATGGCATCCAAACAAAAACTAGCAGGTTGCTGTAGCAGGGTTGGTCGCCAAAAAATTGCCAAGTTACCATAATCCAAAGATTAACTGATATTTTTTACCCTTATTTTTGTGAATTTATATGGCAACACTGATATACAGATTCGAGTTCAAATAATGTTAGGAAGTTTTTGGATACTGTTAAGGAATTTTGTGTGCCACAGACTGAAGACGAAGAAATTTCTAAATAAGGTAAGTGGATATTTTAGCTTTGAAGTTTTAGTGCTTAGATGCTGCATCACAGGTTTTTCCGGGGAATTTTGACTGAAGACTGAACACAGACTGGAATTAAAATGTAGTTTATTGAGATTATGTATTTCTTGTTTGCCTCTACTGTAGAATTGGACGCACCTTTGACTTTTTATGTTAAAATATATCGATGTGTACATGGACAAAGTCAAGGGAGTGCACAATGCCAAGTTTGTGCAATTCTCTGATGTTTCTTGAAGTGAAAATAGGTTGACGTGTACATAGATAAAGTCAAGGGACTGCGCAATGCCTAGTTTGTGACATTATGCGATGTTTTTTTTAAGTGAAAATAGGTCAGTGTGTGCATGGATTAACATGTGTGTGCAATTCTTTGACTTGTTAGTTTCTCTTTGTGTAGCGTCGATTTTTGGCACTAAAATCGCTGCTATACAAAGCCAAAATAACAAGTTTGCACAAAGTCAGAATCCATGTACTGTCAAAAATTGCCAAGGGGTACCCATAAATATACTTTTACCAAATTCAGGTATTCTAATTTACTTAGCAGCATACATAAGCAAAAAAAATATGTGCATAAAATTTTGTGATGGTTGTACTGCTAGAATTAGTTTCAGGATTAAGCAAGAGAAAATTTCCTAAAATTTGAAAGTATTATTAACTAATAATAAATTTAGAAGGAAGAAGCCACATTAAATAATACAAATAACATTAAAATATAGTTAGTAAAAGACTAAAAAATGAATTACAAGAATCAACGATATTTTGACGAATATAGTTATATTAAATAGTTAGCTTAGCTGAGTGATTACTTTTTTTTTTTTTTTTTATTTTACTCCAAAATGATAAATAAGATATTATTAAAAAAAAAAAGGTTTAAAAGATTTAGTGGTAAAATTTTAGTATATGGTACAGCATTGGCATGATTATGAAAATTGCCACCAATACCAAAATGACTCATTTATTGCTCATCATAATCTTGCCAAATTCTGTGTGTACTGTATACAGGATTAAACCGATTTTGTTTTATACGAGAATGGCAAAGTATTTCTTTCATTCAAAATGCACTGCAGATGCGCATCTCGCAATTCTAGAGATTACTGGAAACCAAAGTTGCTAGAAACTTGCTTTGCCATTCTAAAAGACAATCTGAATGAAGCTCCGAAAATTGGCTCTATACTATACATAATTCATCAAGAAAGTGATCACTTCCGTCGGCGCAAAAATTGCTTTTTTTTTTTTTTTTTGATAAAATTCCTCTGACTTTTACAGATTTTAACTAAAATATTTAAATTCCCCGACTTTTTTGGTCAGTTTTCGAATTCCCCGATTTTCATGGTTGTCCAGGTAGCATGGAAACCCTGTTTTATATTCAGATGTGTGTAGCATGTGCACATGTTAATTATTATTGTGTTTGCACTTGAAAACACATTTCAATTCTGCTGTATGTATAAATCGGAAGGGAAAAAGGACAGATTAAAAAAAAAAAAAAAAAATCAATCAAATATTCATTCTCAATTTTTTTATCATGTTAAGAAATAACACATCAATTAATAAACCTGCAGACACATAATTCTTAAGATTCTGGGCTATTTTAAACATCATGAATATTAAATGAAAACATTATAAGAAAACGTATCACTAGCATACATATAATTTGCAATATATCTGAATCAAGTCAATTTGTAAACTTTAACATGTGTTACAGATTACAGATACATTATATCTAAATAGTTAATTCTCTTTGTGTGTCTGCATGTGTTCTTTTAAGACATGTTTACGTGCAAATGCTTTACTACATACATCACATACATGTGGTTTCTCACCAGTGTGAGTACGCATATGTGTTTTTAAACCAGAAGCAGTTCTAAATGATTTGTGACATATTACACACACATGTGGTTTCTCACCTGTGTGAGTAAGCATATGTCTTGTTAAGGCATTTTTGTGTGCAAATGACATATGACAAATATCACATTTATGTGGTCTTTCACCTGTATGGGTAAGCATATGAGTACTTAGATTAAAATTACCTGAAAATGCCTTCTTACATATATTGCACACGTGAGTTTTCTTCCTTATCTGAGGTTTTGATAATCGACACTTTCTTGGCAGTGATGTACAACATAAACTACATTCATGTGCTTTGTCTCGTGTGTGGATATACATATGTGCCTTTAAATTATCCTTTCGTGAAAATAATTTGGAACACAAATCGCATTTATGTTGTTTCTCCGGAACGTGAGTATCCAAATGTGTTTTCAAGTTATCCTTGCGTGAAAATGATTTTCTACATACATGACAAACATATGATTTCAAATTCTTGTGGATAGACATATGTCTCATTAAAGTATGTTTATGTGTAAAAGATAGGTTACATATATCACACTTATAAGGTTTCTCACCTGAATGAGTTAGCACATGTGAATTCAAGTTACATTGTTTTACGAATGACAAACCACATATATCACATAGATATGATTTTTTACTTGTGTTTGCAAATGACTTACAACATACATCACATTCATCTGGTTTTGTGCATGTATGGATATGGGCATCAATATGTCTGTTTAAGCTATATTCACATATAAATGATTTATGGCATACATAACATATATACACTTTCTCATCAGTATGAATAACTATATGTCTATTTAAATTGGACCTCGTCATAAATGACTTCTTGCACAGTTGACACTCATATGGTTTTTCACCTGTATGGATGTGCAAATGGGAAGTCAAGTTACATTTTTTTAGAAATGACATGCCACATATTTCACATACATGTGCTTTCTCATCCGCAATTGCAAATGTCTTACAACATATATCACATTCATCTGGTTCTGTGCATGTATGAGTATGGGTATCAATATGCCTAGTTAAGGTATCTTTACGAGCAAATGATTTGTTGCATATCTGACATGCATACACTATTGCATCACTGTGAGAAAGCTTATGTCTAGTCAAATTTGACTTTTTTGTAAACGATTTGTTACACTGATCACATACAAATGATTTCTTATGCAAATCTTTATGCATATGCTTATTTAACATACCCTGCTGTTCTAATACTTGACTGCACTGCTCTTTTTGATCATCATCAAAATTTTTCGGCACGTTTAAAGAAACTACATTTTCTATATGCACAAAGGATATCCCGTTCACATTGCTTATTTTTTGCATTTTAATAATAAATTCATTTACTTTGACCCAGTCTGTCATTTAATTGCAAAAATGAACAGCGCAGTACACTTTTTTTTTAAAATCGGCGTGCCAAAAATCCCCTTCACACGTTGTATAATTCTTTTGAAAAGGAGAAACTACCCAATTCAGAATATTTTCACATCACAGGGTTGAACTGCATTAATTTATAAAAATGGATAATTACACCTGGTAAATATTCTCAAAGAAACTTCTTCAAACAAATTTCGGTACCAACATTTCAACTAAAACACTTCACATGCTTTTTCTTTACGACTATTCATAATAATAACCATGGAGGTAGAAAGTAAGATGGGTCGCCGCTTTTTCTGTAGCAATCTTGCTATTGAGCAAGAAGAAAGGAGGTGAGGACTTTGGCGAACGCCGTTTCCGAGACAGACAGACAGACAAAGTAGACAGATGTCTTGTTTTGCACCCGCTAAGTTTTTCTGCACAGATGGGAGAAAAATCAAGCATAGGTGCGAAGGAAAGGTATATAGAAAGGGGGGCAATTTCGTATTTGAGGAGAGTAAAAAGGAACTTCGTACATTTTGTACGAGTTCGAAAGGCCAGAAAGAAAAGATGGGACAAAATAAAATTTAAAATAAATGGCCCGAAAATAATAGAGGGGAAAAAAAAGGGGGCCTATAGAAAGAAATGGAAAAGAAGTAGAAAATACCCTAAAATACGATTGTGTCCATGAGTGTAGTTAAGGAGTTCATCTGCAAAAATTCGTGTCTTTAAAAAGCAAACTTTAGCTAAGTTTAAAATAAATAAATAAATAAATAAATGAATTCCTACATGGTAATGTGTATGCCCTTATCTTGAGACCTAACTAAAAAAGACATATATCATCACAGAGATGCACATAATATTTAACTAAAGTAACATTAAATATTACCGTTCCCAAAAAAATCATGTATATTTCATAAAAACAGTAATTGACAAAATCATAAATCCATACACAGTGTGAGAGCATTTCAGCAAAAATAAATTATACAGTTTATTTTTCTTAAATATTAGTTAAATATAAAATTAATTTATTAATTTAACCATTGTAATTTATTATAGTACAAGTTTAACAAATTCCGTCACACTGTATTTTTATTTGCTCATAATTCTAAGTTTGAGGCCTGAAAAAAAAAATCGGGGATCTTAGTTAAAAAATCACAATCTATACTCATCGATGGTCAAGAGATACCCATTTTTCTCTCTCAAGAAATTCCTAAGCACGAAAAGGGGGGGGCCTCCGAAGGGTGTGAGTTGCTGATAAGAACGGACTACTGATAAGGAATGTGGCGTCTCTACGGAATAGTTACGAAGAAAAAAACCACATAATCTGCTACTTTTAACAACTATTGTAGAATGCTAGAATCTTATGAAAATAATAAATAAAGAAATCTAATGGCACTCTAATGATAGAGAAACAGATATTGTATAGAGAACAGAATGTTACTTATCTGAATATTTCGTGTCAGGGCCTCTTTTAGATTTCTCGTGTTGATAGTGAACAGCTAACAAAACACCTGAAGTTTCGAAGAAGCGAAGTTTCCTTTTTCAATTTGATGAATGAGACATTGCATAGGAAAAATGCATTAAACTTTTTTAGAGAGTTGAAAACATTTAGTGAAACTTTCATTTAAAAAATTTCGGAGCTATATTTAGACACTACATCCAGCTTTCGTGATCGCAGCGCCAAAAACGCCGTTTCCTCCAGTCCGTGAGGCGCGGTAAGTAAGAAGTTGGCGAGTAAACGACGCAACTTCGGAGTTCTTGGAATGGAATTTTTGACTAATTCTGCAGGAAGGACGCGTTGAAAAATTTCTTTATCGCAGAATTTGGCGATATAGTACCTTAGATGATAGTTTTTTTTTTTTTTTTTTTTACTCATTCAGTCTGTGCTCAAAATCATCTCGTACATAGCTATTTGCGCAAAAGGATTTCTTGAAAGTTTTAACTTGAATTTAAGGTAGAACGTGAGGAGACTTCGAGTGAGGATTTTTTTAATTTTACTTTTCATTTTTCTTGAGTCGGGACAATTAAAATTCAGGTGTTTGGAATTTAAAGCATTTTTAAAATAACAATTATACTTCGTATTCTGGCGATCGCCGTATAATCCAGTCCGTGAGGCACGGAAAGTTAGAAGAAGTTGGCGAGTAAACGACTCAACTTCGGAATTCTTAGATTGAAATTGTTAACTAATTCTGCAGGAAGGATGTATTGAATGTTTTCTTTATCGCAGAATTTGGCGATATAGTTCCTTAGATGAATGTATTTTTTACACTCATTCAGTCTGTGCTCAAAATCATCTCGTACTTTGCAATTTATGCATAAAGGAGTACTTGAAAGTTTTAACTTGAATTTATGGTAGTTCGTGAGGATACTTCGAGTGAGGATTTTGTTGATTTTACTTTCCATTTTCTTTGAGTCGGGCCAATTAATATTCAAGTGTTAGGTATTTAAAATATTTCTAAAATAACAATAATACTTCGTGTTCTGCCAGGTGGTCTCAATTTCTCTCTCCCTGTCTTCCCTAATTTCTTTTTTAATATCCTGCCATGTATATATTGGGAGGATTGGAGTATTGCGTGAATTTACTGCCTGTTTAGCCAAAAAATCTGCCCTTTCGTTGACCTCAATGCCTTTGTGACCGGGTATCCAACAAATTATTATCTTACTATTTGGCATGTATTTGTAAATTTCATATCGAATATTCTCAATTATGTTGTTATTTGAATCTTCGAAGGAGGCAATAGCTTCTACTGCCGCAAGACTGTCAGTGAAAATTATCGTCGCTTCGGGAAGGTTAGCTAGATATTTCAAAATGTACCAAATTGCTGAAACTTCCGCGGTGTATATAGAAGCATTTCTTACAATCTTGATGGCTCTGTTAACGGTATTTTTTAAATTTGTTACTCCAAAACCAGTTCCGTACAAATTTTTGGAACCGTCTGAGCCCCATACGTTTTCTGCTTTAACATCTGCAGTCAAATTTTTAATAAAAGGAGCGTAATCAGTGACAAAATCGTAAAGATTCTTTAAATCGATGTTACACAATTTCCTAAAGTTTATCCAAGGCGGAATCCGTTTCTTTTGACGGACAACGTTATTATCTAAAATCCATTTAGATTCATAGCTGTCAAGAACAGCTCTTAAATCCTTTTCTTTCTTAAACCTCTAGTGGCGGGGAAAAAATAATCGGCTCTCTGAAATTTTTTATTTATGATGGATAATATTCTTTGCCATTTTTTTATCTTATTGTAATGCGGAATTGCTGCAATTTTCCTAATAACGTCGTTGGGAGCCAAATGACTTACCCCTAAGGCTTTTCTAATCGCTTTATTGATGTAAATATCGTACTTATTTTGGGAGGAGATATATTCTCCCCATCTGATTTCACATCCGTATATGAGTTGGGGAATCATGATTTGCTGGATGATCTTTAGTAAGTTTTTTGTTCTCATTCCTTGAGTTGGGTGGGAGAGGATTTTGATCAAGTTTAAAGTGTTATTTAATCTTTTAACTAGATAAGCTTCGTGTGCTCGCCAACTGAGATTGTGTTCGAAAATAACGCCAAGTATTTTATGCTCTTTTTTCCATCCAATACTGAGAGTACCTATTCTGATGGGGGAAGAGTATTTCTTTCTTCCTCTTGAAAAGTCAATTAGTGTTGATTTCTCAAAGGAGAAAGCAACCTTATTTTCAGCAGACCAGCTAATGATCTTTTTGAGAGTGTCTTGTAAGCAGGAATACCGGCTGTCCTTCCTAACAGTAACATGCACGTAGATATCATCAGCGTAAATGAAAAGCTTGGTGCTCCTATCATTCAGTTTACAAAAATCCAACATAAAACAATTGTAGAGGAAAGGCGATAAAATGGCTCCTTGTGGAAGGCCCTTGGACATGAGCTTATCTGTTGATAGGATAGATCTCCACTTTACAGAAATAGTACGATTAGTAATAAAATTGTAGATCCAACGCACCAGGGTAGTGTTCATGCCCATCTTTTCTAGCATTTCAATCAAAATCTCATGTTGCACGTTATCGTAAGCTCCTTTGATATCCAAGCAAATTAAGTAATTTTCCAGATTTTTGTTTCTGGCTGACCAGACAGAATCATAAATGTCTCTAAGACAGTCAGTTACGCAAATGCCTTTTCTAAAACCATAAATATTTGAAGGAAAAATTTTTTCTGTGTCAGCCCACCACTCTAAGCGGCGCAGGATTATTTTTTCAAGGGTTTTCCCAATGACAGACGTTAAAGAAATTGGCCTGTAATTTGCAATCTGTTTCCCATTTTTATTCGGTTTTAAAATCGGAACAACCCAGGAAGTTTTCCAGATTGTTGGAATATTACTTGATTGCAAACTTTCATTATACATCTCAAGAAGGGCTTTCTGCGTATATTTGGCAGCGACCCTCAGACTTTTGTAAGTAATTCCATCGGGTCCCGGGGAGGAGTTTTTCTTACTCCTTAGTGCGTACATTAATTCTTTGGCGGAAATTGGCTCAATATTTCCCGAAGGAAGGTCGATAGGAACCGGCTGGTTAGTATTGTCATTGGCGCTGTAATATTCCACGAAAATATCCGCCTGAGCAGCCTTGTCTAAAACATCTGCGTTGGAGTGAGTGATCACGAAATTAACTTCCAAGGGAGAGACCAATAGATATGTTTTAAGGTTTTTTACATTTCTAAAGACTTGCTTGCAAGAATAAGCTTCATAGGAAATCTTTGCCCAGTACTTTCGTTTTGCTTTTATTAGCTCTCTTTTGTATTTAGCGTTTGCACCCTTATACTCCACCCAGTCGCTAGGATTAAGTGATCTTAGTGCCCTTCTTTTCAACTTATCTCTAAGATGTTTGAATTTGGCGCCCTCCAAACTGAACCATGGGTTTTTTGGCTCGACCTTGTAGGTGATTTTTCTGGAGTGTGTCTTGATAGCACTGTTAATTACAGAGGTATAAGCATTAACTTTATCCTCCATATTACCAGCGTGGCTCACAGGCAAACGTGACAGAGATATACTGACATCTCGCCAATTTGTATAGCTTTTAATTTTTCCAGGTCTCTCTCTTAAAACTATGATTAAAATTAAGATACACAGGGAAATGATCACTTTGACCCGTATCATCAAGTCTCTGGAACGACAGCTTGGACGCGATATTGACATTTGCCATACAAAGGTCGAGGATTCCTCCTTCTTGGCCACGACAAATATGAGTAGGTTTCTTATTATTTAGAATGATCATATTAGAGTCAATTAGCCAATTCATGAACTTTTGACCGCTGGGCGATGTAATACTATCTCCAAAATTTCTATGGCGAGCGTTGAAATCGCCAACCAAAATCGTGAAAGGATCCTTAAAGGATTCCAAGACCATTGAGTC